ACTTTGAGCGGAGCGAACGAAGTCAGTGGGTGGGAAGAGAAGATCGAACCGTCACGAAATTTTTGTTATAGTCTATATTGAAAAGATGTAGGCGAAGCAAGTTGGAGCTTCGTCCCTACAGTCTGTTTACTTTAACCTAGTACATGGCTAGGAGAAGATATTCGGTTGCCTTTTCTCTTTGCTGGGAAAAATATTAATATATTCTTGCACGGTTTCTCATTCTTGTAACATGACAGATAGAAAACTTAGTGAAAATAAGTAAACATCGAAGAAGTTTTACGTTAAGTGTTTAATGAAAACTGGTTAAAAACATTATAAAGAAGCATAAACAAGTTAATTATAAAAGGAAGAAAAAATTATGTATTAATATGTAAATTAGAAGATAGGTAAAAGATAAACGCGAAAATTCGGTAAAAAATGTAATATAAATTTATGTAAAAAGTACAATAGACAAATATAAAAGAAGAATATTTTATTGTATAAATGTTTTTTAAAAAACAAAAAAATTTTTAATATGTGAATGAGATTAAGAAAATTTGTGAAAACCAACATCAGAGAAGGCTAAGTGCGGTTCAGTGCCACTCGAGAAATTTTAATTGTAAATATATGTATTCTAATAAAGTATGTGTATTAGTTATAGTACACATTCCCTAAGGAAAATGCTGTAGGTCTATAGTACAATAAATTGCGTTTTCCCACAGTTAAAGAATCCCATATACTTGATGAAAATCATTTTTTAATGAGATAAGCATCAGTATTTGATGAAAATAAAAATATATTTTATCGTAATTTATGTATAACATATGTTACTGTGAATGACCGATATCTGGCGAATGTCAGCATTCACACAGTCGTTTCGTGTATGTACTTCTGCTGTATTTGCTAAATATCATTATTTCTCACTTACACTGGCAAATGTTGACATTCAGCATGCACTGATGGTGAATGTCGAATATAAATATTTTTATTACGTTAAGACAAAATAGCAACTTTTTAATATGTCAAAATAGGAGAAAGCTGTAGCACATGTAAATAAACTGTTGAACATAACACGAACAGTACATTCTAAATCATTAAAGAAAATAATACAATAATAAACATACACATAAATTATGTGATTAACGTTATACAATCTTATATATTGCTGCAACTTAAACTGTTATGGCACTTTGAATTGCACAAGAGTCCCTTGCTTTTACGACCTCTTCACCTTGCTTTTACAACCTCTTCACCTTGCTTCAACCTTGCTTTTACAACCTACATTTATTCGTGGAACACTTCTTTCGCAATGACAGCGTATATAGCCTTGCCCTCAACTTTTCTATACAAATTACGAACTGATTGCGGGTATAAAGCTGCTTGAGGATACCATTTTTGTTTGCTAATTTATAAAAGTAGGAATCTTCTATTCCAACAACAACTACAAACACATTTCGGGAATCTGTACGGCCACAGTCGAAATCAGGGACTTGTATTCGTACGAGCCAATTTGAGCAGAAGGAAACGGCGAAGAATTTGGCGACAGATTGTCGTATCTCTCGACATCGACCTCGGGTGTCGTTTGGACCTCCACCAAAGCTTATCTGTGCTTGTCGACATACACCGGCGATTGTTCGAATGTATAATAATATAACCAAATATTCTGTCTTTCACCGACGTATTTTATATGTGTTGACATTCACCGGAGGCCAATCTTATCCGTTTTCACAGAATGCAAGAATTACTCCCGTTTTCAGACTAATTAGAGAACTTTTAGATGGGTCTAAAAATATGTTCGATTTCCCACATAAACGCAAAAAAAAACGCATCTGCGCCTGTTAATCTTGCACACCTATTTCTCTTAACACTTCCAATTGTTAACACTTCCCCGCGAATTACGAAAAATTCCTTCTTAGTGTACTCACCCTATTAAAACACAATCAAAAACGCAAAAAACCGTATCTAAAATAGTACAGTACAGTACACTCCCTTATAAAACGGGTTTATATAGTTCGGATTCCTATATGACGGCGAAAAAATTGCGACCGTATTCGTACAAACACGCTAAAAAAACACTTGTATAATTCGGTAAAACGTCATCGCCGACTCGTGTCGCGACAGGATTGGTCGAATAACGGATATTGTACAAATCGTTGAGTTTAAACGAGTAGCGAATCTACTAAAAACCATTTATTATTTAACGTCCATACAAATTATATTTACATTAATTAATGATGTCTCCAAAGTTCAGCAAATTTTTCGCAGAAAAATAATTTATCAGGAAGCACGCGAGCGCCATTCCATGCACCGCTCCACGACGAAAACAAGCTTAAGCAATGGCGTCGTCGAACGGTGCACATTCGGTAAGTAATCCTACAATTTTTTGTTTATAGCATAGTTTATATGGATTATTCCCAAAAAAATTATAAGTATTTTGGAAATGTTGAGTCGAATTAGTCTAGAATCGATTAATTTTATGGAAGAAAACCTTTCAAACAGCCGTAGTCCGTAAACTGCATACGTGCCGGGCTGTGATTGGCTCATGTATTTAAGAACTCGTAGAAAATGGATTCATAAAAACCGGAACGTATCTACCGTGTTATAGGGGGGTCGACTGTACAGAGTTCTTCAGGGTAAGCTTTAATCTTCTCCCTCTCCCCCGTGGGGGATTTCGAAAAATCCTTTCTTAGTCTACGTTCTTGTGATGTACCGTAACTGTGTATCAAATTTCAACTTTGAACTCCTAACTGTTTCGGAACTCAGCTTATTATTATCATCAACCCATCTCGATTATATATATATATATACAAGATCTGTTCAAAAAGTATCGGACCTTATTTTTTTCCGCGTAAACTAATGATGCGCGAGAGGCCTCCTTCGGTGGAGTTGTGGAGGGGACAGTCATGCACAGCCGTGAATTTTTTCCCGCCTGCAGGAAGCGTCAGTCGTTGGCAATTGCTCTATGAGTGAGGTCATGTAGTGCGCTCTCGTCGGATTCCACTAAGCTGGAAAATGACTGAACAACGTGAGCAGCGATATTACATCAAATTTTGCCAAAAACCTTGGCGATACCCGAGTGTAAACCATTCGCAAGATTCAGCAGGCTTTCGGGGACGATCCTCGAGGCCAAAAAAAGCGCGGCAGGTCCGCAGCAATATCAAAGGTCATGTTGACAGTTTTTTCGACTCTCGTGGGGTGGTGTGTCGTGAGTACGCACCACAAGGCCAAACCATCGCAAAGGAGTACTACCAGGAGGTCCTTCGTCGTCTTTCCGATACAGTGCGACGCAAACGACCGGATCTGTGGTCGATCAAAACTTGGCAGCTCCATCGTGATAACGCATCCGCCCATTCTGCGCATCTGATTCGGGCTTTCGTCGCCAAACACAACACTCCTGTGGTTCGTTACGCTCCGTACTCTCCCCACATGGCTCCATGTGACCTTTGGCTATTTCCGAATCTGAAAATGCCGCTAAAAGGAACCCGATTTTAGTCGAGAGAAGACATCGCGCGGAATGCGACAGACCGGCTGATGGCCATTCCAAAAGATGCGTTCCAGCAGTGTTTCCAGCAATGGCAGGAACGCTGGGAGAAGTGTATACACTAACAAAAAGACTACTTTGAAGGGGATTAGGGTTTTGTACCTCAAAATCAATAAATTTATTTTTGCCGACCAAAGGTCCGATACTTTTTGAACAGACCTTGTATATATAAATTCGGATATTAATATGAAGTTATAATAATGTGATCCATTAAAAACGAAATCTGTTTTAAACTAATTTCTACATAAATGTGAGGGGCTAGCCGGGGATATGGAGTTCGTAAAACTCTTGTACCGCTTACTCGGCAGCTAATCGTGAGAGTAGGCCTCGGTTGTCTAAAGGATGGTTTTTCTATTAATAATATCGAGTGTGGGGGAACTTACAGTTATGAAGTAAAATAAGGCGGAGAGAGATAATCGCGTAATCATCCTTCTTCTCGTCAGGTTCCAGACACCAGTTAATCTTATTTTAACGAGGATTAACACGCGTAACCACGAACTTGCGAATATGAGGAACGCAAGTATTTTGAGTAGGCAGAGGTGTGAATATTAATCATCAAAGGGCCATATTTAAAATAACAAAACTAAAATATTTAATAAAACAAAATATCAAAGAATATACAATAAAAATGAATTATAAAATATATATATCTAGACCTATCTCAAGTATGAGGAAATTAAACCCTCTATCGTAAATCTAGCGAGGAAGTGAGTTTACACCAATCTAAATAGTAATATACTACCTTCCCAGCTCTTTCTAATATTTTCATATATGAGAGGAGGGTCTTCTTAACTATGCACGTTCTTCATCTTATTTTCTGTGGCAATTTCTTGTATGGATAATTGCGTTCTATAGTATGGCGAACTGCCCTATATTGTATGGAAAACTCTTCGAATGACGGACTCGTTACATCGTATGGAGAACCGTTTAATTAAATGACTGACTTTTCGAATAGCAGACTCTTCGTATGACGGACTCCCAGAATGGCAGCAAAAATCTCTTTTTATATAGGCCTCCTCAGACGGCAAAGTAACGTGTGCAAAAGCCCCATCTATGATTCATCTCGTGAGTCGGCCTAAGGAAACGAAATCAACTTCCTTTCTATAACGAAAGTACTTGACATTCGTTTTTTCTTTGAATAAATTCGTTAAAGTTACAAAATTTTAATTTTGATTGAAATTTAAATCGTTCTCTCTCTCCCGTCAATTTGTCTAAAAATGACTCCCTCCTAATTCTAGATCTCACATAAACTCTGTTTTGTATGTTCAAACAGAAAATTGCAATTAGAAAATTTCAGCAAATTCGAAAATATTAAATTTTGTTTTAAAAGCATGTGCTAAAAAACACCGAGATCGACAGAATTGTTACATTTTTTAATATAATTATAAAATTTGAAAAGAATTACGTCTGAATTTGAATATTGTAATGTTTAAATGAAACTTTTCGGATATTGGAAAAAAATCATTTTATTTTAAAACCAGTTTTGCTTACATCTTTCGATCATTCTACATCAATAAAAATTTAAAATAACATTCCTTCGAAATTTCAAAGTGCGAATATTATAATTTACTTATGGTTACAAATAATTTTCGCTGGATGTAATTAACATTTAATGTGGCTTTTGTTTGTGTTGGGTCCGAAGGTGTTTAATTAAGTAATCCTTTCGTGTAAACTTCTGTTTACACTGGTCACAGTTGTAAGGCTTTTCTCCAGTGTGGATCCGAAGGTGTGTCATTAAGCTTGATTTTTGTGTAAACTTCTTTTTACACTCGTCACAACTGTAAGGCTTTTCTCCAGTGTGGATCCGAAGATGTTTAATTAAGCTATCCCTAATCGAAAACTTCTGTTTACACTCATCACACGTGTAAGGTTTTTCTCCTGTATGGATTCTTTCATGAGTTTGCAAACATTGTTTAGTTGTGAAATTCTTCTTACACTCGTCACAACGGTAAGGCTTTTCTCCAGTGTGGATCCGAAGGTGTGTAATTAAGTTATGCTTAATCGAAAACTTCTGTTTACACTCGTAACACGTGTAAGGTTTTTCTCCTGTATGGATTCTTTCATGTCTTTTCAAATGTTGTTTGAAATTCTTCTTACAGTATTTACATGAAAATTTCTTTTGGTTCCTTTTCTCTGCAATTAAACAATTGTTTTAAATAATATTTTATCGATGTATAATAAAAAGTATCTTAAATAGAAAATAATAATAATAATAATAATAATAATATTTAATCAAATAATAATATTTATATCTAAAGGCAAATTTCTGCATCAAAACACAATAAAGTAATTTTAGAGATGATAATGTCCGAGTACAAATATATTATGTTAATAATATAGTAAACAACAGCTGATGAGGAATGACATATTAAAGTAAACAATTTCTGTAAAACATTGTTCTTATGTATTTATATCTTCATGAAGTTTCTTTTTCTATCCTTGCAGTAGACCTTTTGCTTCTTTTATATATTTTAAATCAAGAGCACTAATGTAAATAATGCGATATATTTAATATCCAGTTTTTTTCTATAATCTTGGAGAATATTTTCTTGAAAACTTCATCCAATGTTTCATCCAAACAACAACTGTAAATAATAACAACATACATGAAATAAATTGTATAAAATTTAATTTTACATGAATTTTAATATTAGAATATATTATTCATATTCTTATTCATTCGTGTTGTAAAATGTAAACTTGTATAATATGTTAGATTCATATTAGAAAAAAAATATTGTATTTTGAGACTTATATTAAGTATACTCTCCTCATAACTCCTTCTCAATAAGATAAACTTGCAACGTTGGAACATGTAAAATACAAATTCGTAAGAATAATTTATAAATTTTATTCTTGCAAGATTGAAAAGAAGAAGAACAAAATTCAGTTTGTTGTTTGTATTTTCAGGCTGAAGATTACCTAAATGAAAAAAATAAGACGATTTTAATTAAATATCAGACAAATTCATATTCAATGTGTATTGTACAGTGATTAACATTTCTATTCTCTGCGCTAAATCTTCTAAAATAGATAAATTCTATTTTAAAATTATTTAATATTTACAGATAAAGTGTACATATTTACTAAATTACGAATACGAATAAATTTTTCAGAAATCTATTCTGGTAATTTGAAATTATTTGTGATGAACTGTCATTCGCGAAATATTTGAGAATTGGTTCTTTAAAAAAATATGTCTATACGTAAAGTATCTATACAGAATGTAAAATTGTATGTAAAAATAAGTTTAAATTATAATAAAGCTGTTTTATTATGGTGGACGTTTACACTGGTTATTTACATATAATATGAAACAGATATTAAAAGATTAAGAGTTGCTCAAGCTTGTAATATTTTTAATCGATGCAAATTTAACATGTTTGGTCTGTTGCTCAGACTATGAACAGAAAAACTATTTACACAAGTTTTAACTTAAACACGGAGAAGGAAACGTTATTGTTTGGGCATAAATCGCAGCCTGTGGGAATGAAAGGCGCGTGTTTAATTAGGGATGGGCAACTTTTTTCTATATAAGGGCTGCATTTCAAAACTTTTTCAACTGACGTGGGCCGCGTACAAGAAAAAAGAAAAGAAAAACATGCCGCTAAATCACAATTATTTATCCATATATAATTATAAATTAGCATAGTTATACTTAATTTAGTTTCCGGAACTGATGTAAACGTAATATATCGAAAATATTTTGTTAAATATTAGTCACTGCTAGTTTTAAATTATTTAGATGTGTCTGTTAGCCAGTTCCTTGTTTTAATTTTTACTAAATTCATTGCAGAAAAACTATTCACATACGTAAGTTGTAGCAAATACTTTTGAATTTTTGCTGCATACTTCCTTAAGGTGCGATATTTATATATTTATTACCGATATATTTGATATAATAGGGCTGAAGAGGGGCATTAAGCCCGAAATGCACATCCTTTTGCATGAATAAACCACTCTTTTTCCACTCAAAGTGTTCCTGTGAGATTTGTTCTCAATAGCAACCTTGTGCTAATCTCGAAGGAAATACATAAAATCAAAGTTCTATGTTGACACATCTAATTCTTTTTTTGTAAACTTGGAAAATAATTTCCAGAAAAGTTTAATTTTTATCCAAAAAGCAACTGAAATATGACTTGAGCAATAAAAAAAAATGATCCAGCAACCAGTTGCTTAACTTTCTTGACCACATTTGGTGGTGTTTTCTGTTACAATATTGTATTAAAACTAACTTTTTATACTTTAATTATTATAAAATTGCAAAAAACTTTGAGAGTAGGTTAAATTTTATTTAAAAAATTGGAAATGTTGATAACGAGTAAAATCGTCATTAAGAGTAACCCTACTCGAGAGATGACACACCATCCCAGTTTATCTCCCCACCTCCTTTAACAACCAAAATTTAATAGCAATTATCCCCGCATACCTCCCTGTAAAATTTCAGAAATTTTCGACTATAGGCATAAGAGTTAAGCTTCAAACAGGGTAAACAAAATCGCGCACTTTTCACAGACATACAGAAAAATCTTCTGAATTTTTTTTCTGTATTTCTCGTCGTTTCAAAGTCCCGAGTCCAAAAAAGTAAAAATCTAGGAGGGTCACTTTTTGACCGATCGCCATAGGGTGCAATTCTGTAGCCAAAATGATCCATTGGAACCTGTGCCACAACTATCATATACCTGTAGGAAAAAATTGGTGGAAACATAATCCCGAAAAAGTAGTTGAAAATGAATGTGTCAAAATACTTTGGGATTTCCGAATTTAGACTGATAAAGTTCTGGAACATAATACGCAAGACTTCACGATTGTGGAGAAGAAAAAAGTGTGGATCATAGATGTCGCCATACCGGGTGACAGTTAAATTGACGAAAAACAACAAGAAAAACTTAGCCGATATCATGACCTAAAAATTGAACTGCAATGCCTCTGGCATAAACCAGTACAGTGGTCCCAGTGATTATCGGAACACTGGGGCTGTGCCAAAAGTTCTTAGTCGGCACTTACAAGCCACAAAATTACTATCTGTCAGCTGCAAAAGGCCACCTTACTTGGATCTGCTCGCATCATTCGAAGATATATCACACAGTCTTAAACGCTTGGGAAGTGTTCGACTTGTGGTTTTATGCTTTTGATAACCAGCATTTCTACCTTGTTTGCTGTGTGCACATTGAATAAAGTAAGTTAAATACTATCTTCAGAACACAGTTAAATGCAAAACACACAGTTAAAGCAATAAACACATATGTCGTCCCAGTACTCATATATTCTTCTGGAGTTATACATTGGACTTACACATATCTCGAGCACCTCCAAAGGAAAACAAGAACAACGCTTACTAAGCATAAACAACACCACCCTAAATCAGCCACAGAAAGATTAACCCTTCCACGTAAAGATGGCGGACGTGGCCTGATTGATAAAGTTAACCTTCACTACAAACAAATACAGTCACTGCGAGAGTTTTTCTACAGGAAACAAGAAACATCACAATTACATAAAGCAGTAACTCTAGCAAACTCAAATAACACGCCATTAAACTTACACTCACATCATACAGACATGACACAACATATAAAAAGCATAGACACCATCAAGCAATCGTGGGCTCGAAAGGCACTCCATGGCAGGCATCCTTATGACCTGGCCCAGGATTCTGTTGACAGAACTGCATCAAACAGCTGGTTAGATCGGCTATGCCTCTTTGGGGAGACGAAAGGATTCATGATTGCCATACAGGATCAGGTCATAAATACTACGAAAAACACATACTCAAAGATACAACACTCACAAATGACAAATGCAGAAAATGTCACATCATGCCAGAAACTATACAACACATCACATCTGGGTGCAAGCTCTTGACACAGACAGATTATTTACACAGACATAATCAAATAGCAAATATAATACACCAAGAGCTTGCAAACAAACAAAAATTAATAGACATCCACGAACCATACTACAAATACATTCCACAGATAGTATTGGAAAAGAACACGCACAAACTGTACTACGATAGAGCCATAATCACAGATAAAACAATTTACCACAACAGACCAGACATCACACTCATTGACAAACACAATAAAATCACATACATTATAGACATAGCCATTCCAAACACTCACAATGTACAAAACACATGCACTGAAAAAATTAGCAAGTACACTCGCCCAGGAAATAAGGCATCTGTGGAGGATGGATGGAGTGCTTATTGTAACTGTCGTTCTCTCCTGTACAGGTGTGATACCACACACACTACACAAAAGCCTGGGACCATTATAATTGAATAGAAATACATACATCACACTACAGAAGGCCACTATATTGAATACATGCCATATTGTTAGGAAATTCCTGAATACAGACACTGACACACTTCTTTAATTTTAGTTTTGTTTTGGTTGCTATGCCTTGACTCTTGTCTGGCATAGTACACAGCCACCGGTGTCAACCGAGTATAACCCACTAAACCCAACATAATAATAATAAATCGTTTCTAATTACAATAAAAATACTATATTATATTATGATCTATCACGTGATATCTCCAAATTAACTTATTCTTTTTGCGAAGAGTTTGCTGATCAGGAAACACGTCAGAGATGAGTAGTCACGCGATCGAATAGAATCCACAAATGTCATGTGATACGCTTCCTACGCGTCCGCCGTCCGATGTGCCGCTCCGCGACGAAAACAAGCTTAAGCAATGGCGTCTTCGAACGGTGCACACTCGGTAAGTATTCCTACAATTTTTTCTTTATAGCATATTTTATATGGATTATTCCCAAAAAAATATACGTATTTTGGAAATGTTAAGTCAAATTAGTCTAGAATCGATTAATTTTATGGAAGAAAATCTTTCAAACAACCGTATCCCCTAAACTGCACAAGTCCCTTATTTCTTTAGGATGTATAATAGGACTTATTATACCGGTAACCCGGTTCGGTTACATTTACCCTAGGTATCCAAGATGTCGGTGGTCATCAATTCGGCCAGTGCTTCCGGTCGCCATCTTTTTTTCGCATGCACATATGCAAATAAGATGGCGACCGTCGACAATAACCAAAACGCGCCTATATTTAAACTTTTTTTAAAAACTAAAACATTTTTAAAACGTAAATTTGCTACTTACTTTTTCTCGTGCTTTTGGTTTCATTTCCTACTTTTGGACCAGAGACGAAAAATAAAGAAGTCACCATACTATCTGAAAACCATCGATAACAGGACGCAGTGAATTACGAGATTGGATACATCAGTGGTTCGAACAGGATTTGCCTGGAGTGCAAGTATAAGTTTATGGGGAATGTAGCGTCTCCTCGGCGGGCGGCACCTGCGATGCTCGCCCACCTCCTCGTCGCTGCTTCCAGATACAGATATAACATCACCTACAGAACCGGCCCTACCATAGGGCGAACGGAGCAGCCGCTCCAGGCGCCTCAGTGGTAAAGATAATTAAAGGGTATAAATTAATGGCAACCAAGGGGGCGCCATAATAGGATCTCGCTCCATCCTAAAACTTGCCTCAGGCCGGCACTGATCACCTAGGTCAGCGCTGTCCAACTTATCGTAGCCCGCGGGCCATATTTTCTTCACCAAACATTTCGGGGGCCAAGAAGGTTGATAAACCACATGACATTTGCATAGTGCTACGGTTCAGTAAGCACTAATTGGTCAGCGAGTCCGATGTTGACGCTATAAAAAGGCGACAGTTCGACACACCGGATATACGTCACTCTCGTCTAAATTCGACTTGGGAATTTTTTTGTTCAATAATAAATGTGAATTCTTCTTCCTGGAAAAAAGAACACATTCCTTGAAAATAAGACCTAGCGCATTTTTCAGAGCAAAAATTAATATAAGACATTGTCTTATTTTCGGGGAAACACGGTAGTAAAATAATTTTAATATTAATAATAATAATTTAGTAACATAAATTTATTCATAGTAAAATGTACTCGCGGGCCGCCAGTTGGACAGCGCTGACCTAGGTTATGAACAGTAAAGGATGAATCACTAACCTCCTGCTGGATGCCCGTCGGGAGCACGAACAGTCGAACGCCACGTAGTGGAAAACTAAAACGGCGTAGAATGAATTGTGAAAGGCAAGTTTTAACCGACAGATAAACAGTAAAAACAATTGACCAAATTTTCCTACTCGTTAGCTTTTAAAAAAAAAAAAAAAAACAGAAAATTGTACAAACTTTAAAAAAACATGAATGCCATTCGAAAAGATAAAGACATGCACCATCCGTCTACACCATAACCGAACTCAAAATTTGCATAATTTCTCATATTTTCCGAGTGGAAATTTTTGAAGAAAATTTGCATACGAAACCGTCAGTATGATAAGCGCCATCTACGTTTCATTTCTAATCGCGCATGCGGAAAGGATTTATACCACGTGTGGAAAAGAAACAGGAAGTAGACGAAGAGAATAGTGGTCAAGGCATTCATCTTCTGTGGACGAATACTATTTTTGTTTCGTTTTTTAGATTAAAGAAGGGAATAAAGAAGAATGGAATTTATCTTTTCTAATAAGTAAAAGTGAAGAAAAAAGAAGGAACTTTGGAAGTGAGCTAAAATTACAGTGAAAGAATCTCCAAAAGCAAGGTTAGGAACGAACTCGAAAGTTTTTTCCATTTCCCTATATTTTACATCCTTATTTTTAGACGTTAGTTTAAACGGTTAATATTTCCGCAAAATAAATACTTTCAGTCAGAACATAAAATGATTATAACCAAAATTTCATCTGGATTGAACAAAAATTGCAGGAGTTATAAGGAATTCTAACGTTTGGTTTATAAGAAGTATAGACTACACACAAACGACGGCCTTTATAGTAGTAATATTGGCCTATAATTAACCTGTGTTTATAAACACAAAAATATAATAAATTCGTATAGAGAATAGTTTATTTATTGCTTTATAAGTTTTATTGTAGATGTTACCTTTAGCTTAGGTTATTTAGGCTTATACTGTAGTTTTATATACAATTTATAAGGGTTATCTAAAACTCACCACTTTTTAGTGACTATCGCCTCTTCATTTTCAACCTTGTGTAGCGCTGACCTTGTTAACAGTTGGGGTCATCGTTACGTGTGGACCTAAATGTAGACTTCATGACGGCGTAGAAGGGGTTGGAATATTCGAATAGTGTTTTATTCTTGTGACAATCATTCAAATTAATAGTTTTCTCTAGTTTAGAAAATTTATTTTACTCTAGTAATTACCTTTCCGGCTGTTATATATAATAGAGGGAAACTATGGGTGCGTTTACTTTTAGCTCCGATCTCGCCGTAGCCCGCTCAGCCTGTATACTTTTTGTTAGTTACCAATGAGCACGGCGTTTACTTTTCGCACCCGTGACGTCATTGCTAGCATTTAGCGCGCTCGGCGTGCTCGGAGCTTGGAATTTGTTCAAAGATGGCGGCGTCCATTAGTGTATAATGTCAGGCTGCGCTAAGTGTCAGCTCGGCGAGCTTGAAAGCTAGCAAAAAGTAAACGCACCCTATTGCGATCGGTCAAAAAGTGACCCTCCTAGATTTTTACTTTTTTGAACACGGGATTTGAAACGACGAGAAATACAGAAAAAAAATTCAGAAGATTTTGCTGTATGTCTGTGAAAAGTGCGCGATTTTGTTTACCCTGTTTGAAGCTTAATAACTCTTGTGCCTATAGTCGAAAATTTCTGAAATTTTGCAGGGAGGTATGCGGGGATAATTGCTATTAAATTTTGGTGGTTAAAGGAGGTGGGGAGATAAACTGGGATGGTGTGTCATCTCTCGAGTAGGGTTACACTTAATGACGATTTTACTCGTTATCAACATTTCCAATTTTTTAAATAAAATTTAACCTACTCTCAAAGCTAAGTTTTTTGCCATTTTATAATAATTAAAAGTATAAAAAGTTAGTTTTAATACAATATTGTAACAGAAGGCGCCGCCAAATGTGGTAAAAAAAGTTAAGCAACTGGTTGCTGGATCATTTTGTTTTTATATTGCCCAAGTCATATTTCAGTTGTTTTCTGAATGAAAATTAAACTTTTTTGGAAATTATTTTCCAAGTTTAAAAAAACGAATTAGATATTAGATATGTCAACATAGAACTTTGTTGCTTGCTGTTCTCTTGATTTTATGTATATCCTTCGAGATTAGCACAAGGTTGCTATTGAGAACAAATCACACAGGAATACTTTGAGTGGAAAAACAGTGGTTTATTGATGCAAAAGGATGTGCATTTCGGGCTTAATGCCCCTCTTTAGCCCTATTATATCAGATATATCGGTAATAAATATATCAATTCCGTAGCTTAAGGAAGTATGCAGCAAAAATTCAAACAGTATTTGCTACAACTTAGGTATGTGAATAGTTTTTCTGCAATGAATTTAGTAAAAATTAAAACAAGGAATCGGATAACAGACACATCTAAATAATTTAAAACTAGCAGTGACTAATATTTAACCAAATATTTTCGATATATTACGTTTACATCAGTTCCAGAAACTAAATTAAGTATAACTATGCTAATTTATAATTACATATAAATAAATAATTGTGATTTAGCAGCATTTTTCTCTTCTCTTTTTTCTTATACGCGGCCTACGTCAGTTGAGAAAGTTTTCAAATGCAGCCCTTACATAGAAAAAAGTTGCCCATCAATGATTAAACACGCGCCTTTCATTCCCACAAGCTGCGATTTATGCCCAAACCATAACATTTTTTTCTCAATGTTTAAGTTAAAACTTGTGTCAATAGTTTTTCTGTTCATAGTCTAAGCAACAGACCAAACATGCTAAATTTGCATCGATTAAAAATATTACAAGCTTGAGCAACTCTTAATCTTTTAATATCTGTTTCATATTATATGTAAATAATCAGTGTAAACGTCCACCATAATAAAACAGCTTTATTATAAGTTAAACTTATTTTTACATACAATTTTAATTTCTGTATAGATATTTTACGTATAGACATATTTTTTTTTAAAAACAATTCTCAAATAATTCGCGAATGACAGTTCATCACAAATAATTTGAAATTACCAGAATAGATTTCTGAAAAATTTATTCGTATTCGTAATTTAGTAAATGTGTGTACACTTTACATAATTTTAAAATAGAATTTATCTATTTTAGAAGATTTAGCGCAGAGAATAGAAATTTTAATCACTGTACAATACACATTGAATATGAATTTGTCTGATATTTAATTAAAATCGTCTTATTTTTTTCATTTAGGTAATCTTCACCCTGAAAATACAAAAACAAACTGAATTTTGTTCTTCTCCTTTTCAATCTTGCAAGAATGAAATTTATAATTCATTGTTACGAATTTGTATTTTACATGTTCCAACGTTGCAAGTTTATCTTATTGAGAAGGAGTTATGAGGAGAGTATACTTAATATAAGTCTCAAAATACAATATTTTTTTTCTAATATGAATCTAACATATTATACAAGTTTACATTTTACAATACAAATGAATAAGAATATGAATAATATATTCTAATATTAAAATTCATGTAAAATTAAATTTTATACAATTTATTTCATGTATGTTGTTATTATTTACAGTTGTTGTTTGGATGAAACATTGGATGAAGTTTTCAAGAAAAAATTGGATATTAGATATATCGCATTATTTACATCAGTGCTCTTCATTTAAAATATATAAAAGAAGCAAAAGGTCTACTGCAAGGATAGAAAAGGAAACTTCATGAAGATATAAATACATAACAATGTTTTACAGAAATTGTTTACTTTAATATGTCATCCCTGATTAGCTGTTGTTTAATATATTATTAACATAATATATTTGTACTCGGACATTATCATCTCTAAAATTACTTTATTGTGTTTTGATGCAGAAATTTACCTTTAGATATAAATATTATTTGATTAAATATTATTATTATTGATTTAATTATTATTTTTTATTTAAGATACTTTTTATTATACATCGATAAAATGTTATTTAAAACAATTGTTTAATTGCAGAAAAAAAAAACCAAAAAAAATTTTCATGTAAACACTGTAAGAAGAATTTCAAAACTAAACAAACTTTGCAAAGACATGAAAGAATCCACACTGGAGAAAAGCCTTACAGTTGTGACCAGTGTAAGAAGAATTTCACAACTAAAGAACGTTTGCAAACTCATGAAAGAATCCATACAGGAGAAAAACCTTACACGTGTGACGAGTGTAAACAGAAGTTTTCGAGTAAGGATAACTTAATTACACACCTTCGGATCCACACTGGAGAAAAGCCTTACAACTGTGACCAGTGTAAACAGAAGTTTACACGAAAGGATTACTTAATTAAACACCTTCGGACCCAACACAAACAAAAGCCACATTAAATGTTAATTACATCCAGCGAAAATTATTTGAAACCATAAGTAAATTATAATATTCGCACTTTGAAATTTCGAAGGAATGTTATTTTAAATTTTTATTGATGTAGAATGATCGAAAGATGTAATCAAAGCTGGTTTTAAAATAAAATGATATTTTTCCAATATCTGAAAAGTTTCATCAAAAAACATTACAATATTCAAATTCAGACGTAATTCTTTTCAAATTTTATAATAATATTAAGAAATGTTACTATTCTGTCGATCTCGGTGTTTTTTAGCACATGCTTTTAAAACAAAATTCAATATTTTCGAATGTGCTGAAATTTTCTAATTGCAATTTTCTGTTTGAACATACAAAACAGAGNTATATCGCATTATTTACATCAGTGCTCTTCATTTAAAATATATAAAAGAAGCAAAAGGTCTACTGCAAGGATAGAAAAGGAAACTTCATGAAGATAAATACATAACAATGTTTTACAGAAATTGTATACTTTAATATGTCATCCCTGATTAGCTGTTGTTTAATATATTATTAACATAATATATTTGTACTCGGACATTATCATCTCTAAAATTATTTACATCAGTGCTCTTCATTTAAAATATATAAAAGAAGCAAAAGGTCTACTGCAAGGATAGAAAAGGAAACTTCATGAAGATATAAATACATAACAATGTTTTACAGAAATTGTTTACTTTAATATGTCATCCCTGATTAGCTGTTGTTTAATATATTATTAACATAATATATTTGTACTCGGACATTATCATCTCTAAAATTACTTTATTGTGTTTTGATGCAGAAATTTACCTTTAGATATAAATATTATTTGATTAAATATTATTATTATTGATTTAATTATTATTTTTTATTTAAGATACTTTTTATTATACATCGATAAAATGTTATTTAAAACAATTGTTTAATTGCAGAA